CCTGTGTGGTGTGCGTAATGTTTAATCGTATCCTTTGGTATCCCTGTCCCTTTGATTAGACAACAGTGAAACAGATCTATTAGATGCATGTTAACATTTACATGTGTTATTCACTTATTTGTAAGTTAAGGAGATATTAATATCCATGGTTTTTTTTTTTTTTTTTTTTTTTACTTATTCCTATGAAAGATATTGACTATTTATGAATTATACTTCATTTGTCTTGCCAACCACTTTGTGACAACAAAATAGTACATTTTTATTTTCTTATCTACCACTTTATGAAATATACTTTCATATAGCAGATTTACAAAATTTTATGAGTATGCAAGTGCATACATTTCTGCTATATATACCATACCTCGTGATCTACATAAAAGTTCAAAAAAAATAAATAAATAAATAAATAAAAATAAAAAAAAATCTATTTGTTAAGCATTCATTTACCAATAAATTCTTTAAATATATATATATATATATATATATATATATATATATATCCAATAAATCACTTCACGATAAAGTATTAGATTTATTTAATCTAAGAAAAAAATATTAATTTATTTAAAAAAAACTATTAATGATTCTATGATCTTACAAAAAACGATCATTAGTAAAATCAAGATGAAATTTAACTAGGCGGATAGTAGGACCGTACAATAATACAATATCCGATTTTAACTTTGAATTACATTTAATTTCTTAGATATTCTTCGATCTAATAAATTTTATTTTTTATAGTTTTATTTTAACATAAAAATTCCTTTATTTTTATTAAGACAAAAGTGTTGATAAATAAATGTTAACAATCATTTTTATGAGTTTATGATTATAGCTACAACCGAAAATATCCAATAATATGATTCACATGCATATAAAATAAAGTTGAATATCTGTAATCTATTGGTTATTCTGGATTTAGGTTTTTACATTTTTAGTCTAATAATTTAAGTGCCCTAACTAATATTCGTATAATCCTGCTAGATATCATGTTAGTTAACCATAAAAAACATAAAGTTTAATTTTTATGTATAGATATTTTATCATGTTAGTTAACCATAAAAAATAAAGTTTAATTTTTATGTATCGAAATCATATAAAAAATCTAAAATAGTTCATATTTGTTTAAAACGAACATTAAAATGAGGCTTTTGACAAATATATAAAAGCTACAAAAAATATATATTAGAAGAGTTTTTTTGTGCTATAAATGGTGTAAAAAATACAGTAAAATTTGATATAAAAGCGTTATTTGCATTATTTTTAGTTCGACTTTTTTTTTTTTTTTTAATTTTAAATGAAGGGTCAGATAGGTTATTATTTTAAGGTGGACAATTGTGCTCATGGGTGTTGTGTTGCAAACAAGTTATCATTCATTAATTATTCAAATTTTTGCATGTGATATATACGAATTAATGATTTTCGTTAAATCATAAAAATATAGTTTTTAATTAGTTGACTTTTATCCTATAACTAGATTTGTACAGTAGAAAAAAAATAAGTAAGTTTGGTTTAGCTTGTTAAGATGTTAACGTCTTGGAAAATATTAAAGATTACTCTCCTCTCTTTTCTCTAAACTTCATCATCTTTCATCATTTTATTACTATTAAAAGGACAATATTCTCATGGTATTTATTTTATAATATTTTAATGTGTTTTTAGACTTACTAGAGTCAACATCAGCAGCAACTAGCTCCAATAGGAGGGATTTCCCGAGCAAATCTGTTATATCATCAAGTCCTTTTGTAAGCCCTATACTGGATATGAGCCCACCCATGGTCACCTGAACGGTGATAATGGCTTTCACCTTGGTGGTGGTTGTGGTGGCGATGGATTTGTCAGCGGCGATGGCTTTGATTTGACGGGATGACCGTACTGCATGTAAGCCGTTTGGTTTGATAGGAAATGAAAGCATCTTGAGAGAAAGGATACTGGCGGCGCTTCCACTGTCACCACCAGAAGAGCTGCCATCTCCGGCGACAAAAGCCTTGTGCTGCCGTGTGGGTAAGGGTTGAGTAGAGTTTGAGTGGTGGTGGTGGAGGTGAGGTTTCATCATGTTTTTTTGTTGTGATGAATGGTACGAGAAGGGTGGGATACTATGTCTTGGTTTAGGTTCGATATGTATAAATAATTGAATATTTTATATTTGAAGTATTATTCTGGGAGATACAATAATATTATTTATTATGGTTTAATATCTAAACCTGGAGATAGTGATATTCACTCATTTATTTTTGAACTGATAAAATTGGAGTTATATTTTATTTTTTTGAAAGCAACGAATAAATGAGTTTTATTGAAGTAAAATGAATGGACCAAGAAGTTTCAAATAATCACCTAAAATATCTTTTTAACACATGCATAATTTTTTAATTGGTTCATTTTTTCAAAAAAATAAATATACTATATGTCTATATATGTAACATTTTTATTTATTTAATAATTTATGTATGTATATTTTGGTGCAAGTTTAGCATGTTAAGAAAAAACCAACCACCATTTCGATTATATATATATATATATATATATATATATATATATATATATATATATATATATATATATATATATATATATATATATATATATATAGAGAGAGAGAGAGAGAGAGAGAAAATGTTCAATTAAGAAAAAAAATGTTGAGAATGAGATAATCATTTTCACTATACATTTATTTTGCTGCAAAACAATTAGGTGTACCAGCTGAAATGGATAATAGATATACATATGTTTCCAACCAAACATGTTTTCTTAAAATATGCTAATTATTACCTTAATATACAAAAAAAAAAAAAAAATTATTATTTTTTATTTTTAGAAAGCTATTTTTATCGAAAATTTATTTTAAATACATCAAAATTCATAATTTTTTATTCTCTATAAATAGACATCCATATTAATATATTTTTAAGATAAAATAAAAAATTAATTTTTTTAGACTTTCTCTTGTTATTCAAAAGTAAATAAAAATTAATCAAATTTTTATTACAATATATTCTTTATTCACTTATGAATAAAAACATATGCTTAACTTTTTTTTTATAGTTTGAGTATCGTTCATCTATAAATATAACACGTAATAAAGTTTTGTTTCTTAAAATATAATTTTACATCATCTTTTATCATATATTATATTTATATATGAATAAAACGTATATTTGTTGGCGTCATATTTTATATTCATATATGAATACAACATTTATCAGATTTTTGTTACAATTAATTTGCTATTCGTATATGAATAAGTAGTATAGATGATATCTAAACTATAAAAAAAATCATATTTTTTATTCATAAGTGAATAACAAATGTACTATAGCAAAAATCTGATACATTTTTATTCACTTATGAATAATGATAGCTTAAAAAAAAAAAATTTAATTTATCTTAAAACTATAGCAATATGGATGTGTATTTATTGAGAATAAAAAAAATTATGAATTTTGATATATTTAAAACCATTTTTCAATAAAAATAGCTCCTTAAAATTAAAAAAAAAAAAAAAAATCATGTTTTTGTATATATTAAGGTAATAATTAGCATAGTTTAAGGAAACATGTTTTGTTGGAAAACACATATGTATTCATTTCCCATTTTTGCCGGTACGATGGAGGCTTTTGCGGCAAAAATAAATTTGTGGCTGAGAATGATTCCCCTATTTTCAACATTTTTTATTTTTCTCAATTGTACTTATATATATATATATATATATATATATATATATATATATATATATATATATATATATATATATATTGGTTTTTTTGAGATTAATAAAAAATTAAAGATTATGAGATAGTTGTATAACCCTTTGATTTTATGATCTTTATTTGTAAAATCCGACGGTTATATAATTGTAAATACGTAGTTAACTATTCAAATTAACGCCATTGGTAACCATTTTAGGTTGAGTATTGTAATTTTACAAACAATCATATCAGTTTTGCAGAGGCTACAATACTGTAACCGTCTATACTCTTATTTTCTTTCTCGATCAAAATCCCACTTAGAAATTCTCATGAAAACCCTCTTTTTCTTTCTTTATCGCATTGAGCTCTACTTTGCGTTTGTCAGTTGTGCAAATTAAGTTTGAAAAATCAGTGAATGTTTTCAAAAGAAAATCTAAACGAAGTCGCATCTTTGTTAATTGAAATGAAATGTTAGAATACAATTAATTTTTCATTTTATTGATAATGAATGTTTGTTTTAATTAGTATGTAGTTTTATGTTGATAATGATGATTTTTGTTTTGATTTAGTAGTTTTTTCGTCATTTTTACTTGATTTGATGATTTTTTTGTCTACAGTTCATCTTTTTTTTTTTTATTATGTTTGTTTGTGGTGGTTTTTTTTATCTAAGTAATTGTTTATATTTTCACAGATAAAGATTTCAAAACAAAATATATTCGAAAAAAGTTCTAAAAAAAAAAATCTCGAAGGCAGTAGAAGTGGTGTTATTTTCGAAGGCACAGTTCAAAAAATCAATGTTCAAAGAGATTTCTGTAATGTTTTTTGTCGCATTTTCTTCTATTAATTTTTTATCCATAACTGATTATCATATTTTGTGATTTTGTATTTCTGTGTATCCCACGTGAATACAAAAACGATTCTGGCGAAGTTAAAGAGAAAATTTCAAAGAAAAAAATGTTAAAGGTATGTCTTGTAATCATAACTGATTTTGTGATTTTTTTTTTCAATGGAGTGATATTTTATAATTTTAGTTATATGTTTATTTCTAGTTCTAATCATAAATGATTTTATACGTTTGTTTATGTAGGAAACCAATCTGAATATGAAGATGCTTTTTCGCGATCAAATGAGAAAATGTCAAAAAAATATTAATGATGAATGTATGTTTTTATAATCATTAGTAATTATGTCAGTTAAAATCATAGTTTATTAGTCATATGTATTCTTGTTGTGTATTAATAACTAATTATGTTTTTTTTTTGTAGTAAATGCTTTGTTTATGAAAATGAAAGTAAAGATGTTTTAGAGAAAATGTCCAAGATTAAAAATGATAAAGGTATGTTTTGGTAATCATAAGTGATTATGTTTCTTCATTTGTAACTAACTATATATATTTTGTTTCCTTTTTTACTAATACTATTTTTCTAATAAAAAATATAGTTAAAAAGGGTAATTTTACAAAGAATGTATCCATAGAAAGCTTAAGGCAGACACAAACATCTTCCAAAAAAGATAAGGCCAAGGGAGTGGTGCAAACAAGATCAAAGAAATCCAAAAAATCAGTTGTTGAACAACCAAAAGTGAATCTGACCGTTAAGGGAAATAAATTAGTTTTGGAGAAGGTCAAAATCGTATGTAAGAAACGTGAACTATATGATGAAGGTGATTCTGATTTTCAAAATCGTCCTGGATCTTCAAAGAAACCAAAAAGAGAAGCTAAAGTTGTGAAGAAAGAGAAAAAAGTTGTTGTTATAAAAGAATTTTTCTTCATTGAAGAATAGATGCTCACCCGGGTCATTCTTAGGTATTATTCAAGGTTTAAGTAGAGAACAGAAGGAGTGTGTTAGGTTTATGGGATTTGGTAGTTTGTTACGGATGAATACGATTGACGTAGCGTTAAAGATTCTTTATTATGTTCTTGATCATTTTAATTTTGAAACTTTGAAGGTGGAGTTTGAGAACTATCAAGTTAGTGTTTATAGTAAATATGTTCATGAGATGTTAGGATTACTATCTGGTGGTTCATTACTTTCAAACATGGATTACATTTCCAAGGATGATGAAGAGAGATGTCTATTTGAGTGGAAGAAACAATATGGAAATAATGATAAATTGAGATTGAAATAGGTAAAGAATGAACTTGTTCGAACTAGTATAGAGGATGATACCATTAGAATCAATTTCTGGTTCCATTTATTATTACATTATGTGAGTCTACAAGCATGGGTAAATGTAATCTGAATCCATTGTATTTAATCTGAAGAGATATTGATTTAAGTAGCATTGACTGATGCGATTTCATTTTCGATTGTTTGGTAAGGACGAAGAAGGTTTACAACCTAGAGAAAAAATCATCTTTCTTTTTTGGTCTAGCAACATACCTTATGGTACATGAACAAATTTTTAATATTAAATCCATTTTTAGTTGTAATGATATGTTTGTTTTTATTTTTAAGCATATATGATTGTAAAATCATATATGATTAATTATATATTACACAGCATAATCATATATGATTATATAGTCTACTTTTTATCATAATCATATATGATTATTCATATATATTATGATAAATGATATATTTGATTTATATATATAAAATCATATTTGATTATGCAGTGTAATATAATTAATCATATTATATATATATATATATATATATATATATATATATATATATATATATATATATATTATTTATTATATATTAAAATGTATAAATATATCTTTTTAGAAAGTTAACTTATTTGATATATATATATATATATATATATATATATATATATATATATATATATATATGTTTTTTGTAGTTGTTGTATGTGGATAGTTTCAACTTTGATCATTTGCAAGTCACACGTAAACATCTAACTATTTTTTATTGGTTGTCAGAGAAGATAAGGTTTCTTGAGGATATTTTACAAGAGGATGGAGGATTTGGATGTGGAGATGTTAATGGACCATATGTTGAAGAAGAATGTCAAGAATTTGAGTATAATGAAGAGGATTCTGGTGGTGATGAGGATTTATGTGCTGAGGATGAAGAAGAATTTGATGTTAGTAAATTTGGTGTTGTGGAGGTAATTTTATAGTTTTATTCATTTATGATTTCATTACTGTATTCATTTATGACTTTTTATGATTAAGTATTTATTTTTAAGTATCATTTTTATGTAGGTGTATGAAACTAAAATTTCATATATGTATCATAAGATGGAGGATTTGAAAAAGGATCTTGTTGTAAAGATAAATCAGGTAGTGTTGAAGTTTCATCAAAGTCAAATTTTGAAAAACTGGAAATTATTATTTTTTGTTGAAGATTGAAGCACATAAAATTTTGATTTCCATTATGTTTCATAGCAAATTAAAGAACCAATACTAACACCTGCTTTTTGTCAAGTTAATGATGATGAAGAAAGCATAAAAGTAAATGATGATGAAGATTATGGAAATGGTTTTCTGAAAGATCATGAAAATGTTGAAGATGATGATCAAGGGAAATGTGGTGGTGCTAAGGGGGATGGAAATCGTGCACATAAGGACCATATTGATAAAAATGATGCTGGAGGTAAAGTTGATGGTGCTAAAGGTGATGTTGATGATCATGCATATGAGGACCATATTGGTAAAAATAATGATTTGTTGAATGAGAAAGATGATGATGTTATGATGGAAAATTTTGGTAATGAAGATGATGAACAAGGAAATGGAAGTGGATGCAATGAAAAAGAGGCGATGAATTTAAATTCTATTGCCGAATATGTTACTAAGAGTGTTGGTCTAATTAATAGCCAAGAAGGTGTATCTTTTAGTCAATTAATGTGCGATCTAGTTGTTGAAAGTTTTCTTAAAATTTTGGATCGAGGTAAGCATTTGTTTTGGTTATAAATAGTTTAATCATATATGATTTTAATTTTTTATATTAGAATTTTATAGGTATTGAAAACTCGGTTGATGGTTGTATAAATCAAAAAAAAAGTTGAAGATGATGTGAATGCCAATTTGACTAGTTTTGTGAAAAATAAATTTGATGGCGGTAAGTATTTATTTATGTATTTTCTATACACAAAATACATATGAGTATGTTATATAGATGATTCACATATGATTTTAATAATTTAGGGACTGTAAATTTAGGTGAGGATGATCATAGTAAAGAAGTAATTTCAGATCATATTGTTCATAAAGTTATTGTAGAAAAGAAAAAAGAAGATGAATTAATTGATCCAAGTTTATTGAAAGGTTGTGCTAAAGTGTTAGTTGAAATTTCTAAACTAAATAAGGATGGAGAAGGTGTGGTAGAAGGTGATGGTGTTGAAGTTGATTCGATTTTAGGGAAAGCAATAGAAGATTGTTCAAATGAAAATAAAGATATGATGGAGGTAATTAGTTTATAATTATTATTTATTTATATATGATTGTGTTTATAATTGTTGCTTATTCATATATGATTTATATATATATATATATATATATATATATATATATATATATATATATATATATATATATAGAAACTGCTAAAGATGGTTTACAAATTATACAATGAAAAGATTCAAATGAGACTCACTCAGTGAAAAGGACAAAGGAGAAGGGAAAATTGATGTTATTGATGATAATCCAGTTTCTTTTTCACCCCCTTTGGGTAGATTAGAAGGACCATCAAAACCAATTTCTGACCAAGCTATAGTGATAAATGAAAAAATTCCATCAAAAGCTGTCACATCCCCGAATCAAAGCGACAGAAACGCCCGGGGGAGAATGACGTCATTGCATAGTATCATAACGGTTGAATATAAATGAAACATAGCAACCCAAACATCATACATTGAGAATACAGGTTCTCACAGTTTAGATATTGTATTTGTTCAAAAATTACACAACAAATGACTGAATATAGAATTACATAACTCTACAACTCCTGATCTCAAAAGTTTTGGATACCTGTTACTGGCTCCTTGAGAATACAATTGATTTTGAAAAGCGTCAACAATAATGTTGGTGAGTTCATAAACATTTTTGAATGAAAAGGGTTTGTAACTATTTTGTTTAAAAGTGGTTTTGTATACTTCCAGAAAATCCGACATTTTCTATAAAAATCGACTGTAAGTCTTATATCCAAGAATAAAAATGTATGTATCTCTTTTGTATCTTTTCCTTGTAAACATGATAATTTATGTTCCCAGAAAATCCAATATTTTCTTATATGTGAGCTGTAGTCTTAAACCCTAAGACTAGAAATGTAAGCAATATTATACTGAAAGGTAGTATGTAGTTTTATATTTTTATAAAAGTATAAAATCAATGAAGTGTAAGCTTCCCGTAAACCGAGATAGTATTGTTAATACCTATGTGAGTTATTATACCCATGCTTAATATTATTGTTATGCATGTACGACGTTCTTCAGGTGTAGGAATCGGTAGATATTTGTCACCCTAGACTTGCCGGTCTAACTTTAGGGAACAACTCAGGTGTGGGGTTGTCAATCCCGTATAGATCTATACATAAATATCTCGCTATCCCTTCGGGAGACTCTGGTTATAATGTAGGACTTAAAGTGTACGCTAGGTAGGTACGGTGAAGAGAATGTCTCACTAGAGTATTAACAGATTTACACAAACTACGACTCCCTTTTTCTTGTATCATGAAATGTTTATACCATTGAAACATTATAAGATTATGGTTTTTGTGACTCCCAAACTATACCCATTATAGTTTCCCTTGTATGTTTTTGTGTGGACTATTTATATACATTTTTATATAAATAAAAAGTTGAAATCTTGACTAGTGTTAATATATGTTATTAACACATCATTTTCTTAGGTTTTTAACCAACCAAAATCGAAATGTCTAAAGTGTAAAGATTAAAAAAAAGTATTTTTAGTAAAAACTACCATACACTTGCAGTTTGCATAATCCATAGTTTTCTTGTTGATATTTGTTACCACAAAATGAGTTATGTTTTTGGTCATTTTTTCTTATCAACCTTATATGTCATATTTTTATATGATAAGAAACTAGTAACTACATTTCATACAAATATTACTCCATATTCATAAAATAAGAATAGAGCATGCAAATATCCAAAGGAAAAACACATTTTGACTTGTATCCCCCCCCTCCCCCCGGCATGCTAAAAGCATGAAAAAAAATCAAAAATGGGGGAATGAAGCTCACCTTCAGTTGATTTTGTGGATGGTTTGAAGGAAGATGATGAGGATTTTTGGGCCTAGATTTTGGTATGAGCTTGAAGAGATTCTTGGAGGTGTTAGTATCCTAAGGGTTTCACATATGAAAAATGTGTGTAAACATAATGAAATTAACCTAGAAATGTATAGAAGCACTTGTGATACACAAAAATGCTTACCAAGGGGCTCTAAATCCGACTTGAAAATGAAGATCTTGGAGAAACTTGAGTTTGTTCTAGAGAGTGTTTTGAAGAAAAGTGAAAGTGGTGAGAGGAAAAGGACCTCTCGACTGCAAGCTAAAAGGGAGGGGAGGATGAGGCTTTTCTTGATACATGTTGGTCACTTATGTGTCTTGTATGGAGGCATGGTGTATATTATTGTGTAGGGTATGAGAATTCGATGGTTAATGAGAAGTAAAGGGAAGATGCCAATTTGCAAAGTCAATATCTTGGATACTAAACCCAACTGAAATCTCTTGGACAAGGCAGGGCATTTTCGACTTTTGGCTTTTCATGGGGAGGTTTTCGGTTTTTATAAATCACCTATTAAGGGTGATTTTGGTCATGGGGGTTTCCATGGCCGAAAACCCTAAAGAAATTCCCATTTTTAATTCATGTGATACTATTTGATCTATTTTGGTCTTTTAAATGTTTATTATAAATATGCATTTTTATGTACTCATATAACAATGTCATTTTTTATTTAAAAGAATCAATTGCAACAAGGTTACATTATGTATGCATTTGTTCATGATTACAATCTAGACTTTACTTGACCATACATTGACTAATTGTCACATTATCCCCTCGTTAAAGGGAATTTCATCCCGAAATTAGTTCAGAGTAGTCACTCAAAAACTGGGGAAGATATGTGGGTACTTCTGTTTCATTTGGTCTTCGCGTTCCCAGGTGAACTCAGGTCCACGTTTGGCGCTCTATATGACCTTCACAATAGGGATGTGACTTTGTTATGTTCGTTTCACCTCCATATCCATTATTTCTACAGTTTCCTCGATGAAATGAGGGTTCTCGTTTATTTCAATCTCATCAAGCGAGACAATGGGAGTTTTGACGGATAAACATTTCTTCAGGTTGGACACATGGAATACAGGGTGTACATTGTTGAGTTTAGGCGGTAGCTAAAGCTTATAAGCCACTAGACCGATTCTGGAAAGGATCTTAAATGGTCTGATGTATCTTGGATTCAATTTCCCATGCTTCCTAAAGCGTATCATCTCTTTCCACAGAGAGACCTTCAATAGCATGCGGTCGCTAACTTGAAACTCCAAGGGCTTTCGTCGTTTATCCACGTAGCTTTTTTGTTGGTTTCTGGATGCCTTTTTCCATTCCCTAACTTGGACAATCTTATCGGTTGTCTCTCTGATGATCTTGGGACAGTGAGTGTGCTAGTGGGTACTTTCCCTTTTTCCCGCTGCATGTCTCCTACCTCGGCCCAACATAGAGGTGATCGGAATTTGCATCCATATAGAGCCTTAAATGGAGAGACCTTGATGCTAGTGTGATAGCTATTGTTATATGAGAACTCGATGAGTAGCTAATGGGTATCCCATGCCTTGCCGAAGTTTATCACACAAGCCCTTAACATATCCTCCTGTGTTTGGATGGTCCTCTCACTTTGCCCATCTGTTTGGGGATGGTAGGCTGTACTCATATCGATCTTGGTTCCCAATGACCTTCGAAGTGACTGCCAAAACCGTGAAGTAAATCTACTATCTCTGTCGGAGATAATAAATATTGGCACGTCGTGTAATCTTACGATCTCTTTTATATAGGTCCTGGTTAACTTCTCCATTTTTGTCAGTTTCCTTTATTGGCAGGAGGTGGGCGGATTTGGTTAATCTATCAAAGATTACCCAAATGTCAAGTCCATTCTTTATCTTGGGCAATTTGGTGATGAAGTCCATGGTTATCCGTTTCCACTTCCACTCGGGTATGTCTGGTTGTTGCAGTAGACCTGAGGGCTTCTGGTATTCTACCTTGACTTTGGCTTAAGTCAGGCACTTGTTCACGTGTGTAGCGATTTCGGCCTTCATGTTTGGCCACCAATAATGTTTCATGAGATTCTAGTACATCTTGTCGGAGCCCGAATGAAAGGAGTATTTTGTCTTATGGGCTTTATTCACGATAACGTCTTTGTACCCACCAAACTTTGGTGTCCAGATTCGATCCATGAGGTAGTAAGCTACATTATTCTTAACTGTAAGGCTCTCATCGATCCCTCCCAAGGCTTCGTTTGTTATATTTTCCAATTCAAGGCTTCCAGTTGAGCCTCTTTGAGTTGTGAAGATAGGTGGGAATGGATGGTTATTGTTAGTGACTTTACTCGGCGACTCGGGAATTCTTTCTGGATTGGGGCATCTGCTACTACGCTGGCTTTTCCCATATGGTATCGGATCTTGCACTCGTCATCGTTCAGTAGCTCTACCCATCGCCGCTGCCTCATGTTGGGCTCTTTCTGGTTTAGAATATGCTGGAGGCTTTTGTGATCCGTGAAAATGGTGCACTTTGTACCATAAAGGTAGTGTCTCCATATCTTTAGAGTGAACACCACTGCTCCCAGCTTGCGGTCATGTGTGATGTAGTTTACTTCGTGGGTCTTTATTTGTCTTGACGTGTAGGCTATGATATTTCCTCGCTGCATGAGTACACATCATAATCCTCGATTGGGTGCGTCACAATAGACTGCGGAGTCCTCTGTCCCTTCTGGGTGAAAGAGGACAGGGGCGCTTCATAGAGCTTGTCTCAAAGTTTGGAAAGCAACCTCTTATTTCTTCTACCAGATGAAGGGTACACCCTTCTGAGTTAAAAGCGTTGAGCAGCTAGGCGATCTTGGAGAAATTCTGTATGAACCTCTGGTAGTAACCAGCAAGGCCTAAGAATTCCTTGATCTCTGTTGGGGTTCTTGGTGTTGCCCAACCTTCGATTGCCTTTATTTTTTCAGGATCCATGTGTATCCCTTATTTACTGATCACATGACCTAAGAAATCCACCCTTTCGGATCCAGAACTCGCATTTGGAGAGCTTTGCATACAACTTCTATGTCCTTAATGTTTCCACAACTTGTCGTAGGTGTTGGTTGTGTTCTTATTTGCTTCATGAATAGACTAGTATATCATCGATGAATACTATCACAAATTTGTCAAGGTAAGGTCGGCACACCCGGTTAATTAGATCCATGAATACAACAA